TTTCTAAAATAGGTTGCCTAGGAATTAGAGAAATAAATTAAGATTTTCTAAGAGAAAAAAATCTATTTATCTGGTGTGAAATTTTGAAACATTTTACTGATAATTTATTCATTTCACACGAAGATCATTATCATCGTAATGATATTGATAATGGTGATGATGATGGTAATGATACTGATGATGATGATGATGATGATGATGATGATGATGATGACGACGATAATAGGAGTATAAAAAGTCACTAGTTTTCTAACCCACCAACAATATTTTCCTTCTTCTTCAATTCAGGACACGAGCCATCTTCCTTGCAAAGCTTCTCTCTCGTAACGGCTTTCCCCCAGCGATTCACTCGCACATTCGCATAAAGATTTTCCGGAATAAACCCGAATGTTTTCCGAGTGTCTGTGTACCGAGCAGCCCAGTAGTACCCACGCTCTTCCGGGTCAGGTTCGTACGGGTGGTCAAAGTAGTTGTACGTTGCTTGAGATAAAACCACCTGAAAAAAGACGCTGCATCAAATACTAGAAAAACGGAACATCTTAATGCAGACATATGTAGTGAGATAAAGTTATATCAATAAATTAACCTTTAGATTTCTTGACTCTAAACAACGGTCGCAACAAAGAAATACACTATACGATACACTGCTGACAACCAAAAAAAAACTTTTGGGTGCCTTTACACACTTTACACATTGACGACAAATCGTTTCTTCTTTGCAGTAATTAGTTGTTTCTTTTTTTGTTTTGTTTGTTTGTTGTTGTTGTTGTTGTTTTGTTATTTTTTGTTTTTGTTGCAGCAATTGGTTTTCTATACTATTGCAGCAACTCATCTAACATGCAGCAACTCGTTTCTTATTTGCAGCAACTCGTCTAACATGCAGCAACTCGTCTTATTTGCAGCAACTCGTTTCTTATTTGTAGCAACTTATCTAACATGCAGCAACTCGTCTAACATGCAGCAACTCGTCTAACATGCAGCAACTCGTCTAACATGCAGCAACTCGTCTAACATGCAGCAACTCGTTTCTTATTTGCAGCAATTCGTTTCTTATTTGCAGCAACTCGTTTCTTATTTGTAGCAACTCGTCTAACATGCAGCAACTCGTTTCTTATTTGCAGCAACTCGTTTCTTATTTGCAGCAACTCGT